TTATTTTCTTTTATTTTATAAATTCTGACGCACACTGTTGTGACAAATTCGACTTCCGACATTTTTCCCGTTGTTATCATCCAAAATTTTGTAGTGCAGACGCATTTTTTGCTCTTTTGCGATTTTAAATAGTTTTCCAGTCATTTAATGTTGATAAAAATCAGAGATTTTACAAAGGTTGTGATTTTTAGAAATATTTTAACTGGAAATGTTGCGGCTTTAAAGACCTATTAACAATCTGAAAAAGTTCTAAAATTATACTTTTTAAAAAAACCATTATTAATATTATTTATTAAATATTTTCTCCGAAAATGTTCAGCCTTTCCAAACATATTCCGAAATTATAATACTTTCGAAAACTTCATTCGTTGTTTGCAAGCACTAAAATTATGTAAATTAAAAACCGTTATATATAAAAATGAATATTTTCTCGGAAAATGTTAGACCCTACCAACCCTCTGAACGTTTTCCAAAATTAAACTACTATCGAAAACTTCAACCTTTATATTGTATGCATTGCGGCGGCGCCACTCCCAGATAAAGTTGAGAAATTACGAATAAAGTGATATTTTAAACAATTATTGGCCTGAAAAATTCTCTTGACAGTATTCAAATGATTAGAACTCATTTAGTTAATTGCAGCGACTACCAATTCTAAACGACCATTGAGCGCAGCGCGTGGCGGAATCGAAGAAATTGCAGTAATATAACGGTACAGTGTGTCGTATGTCCTACTGTCATGTTTGACAACTTCTACAAGCATAAAACTACTTGGCTCAGTTCCATAAATTCAAAAACAAAAGTCAGCATTAACACTTGTGAATTAGGTAACATTTAGATAATAAAACAAATGACATAATCATTGCTTAACAATACTACAATTATATTTATAGACTTTTGTTAGCGAACTGTCTATTTCTTTAGCGTGTATTATGTCTGTTTTGTAACTGGAAACAGCTGTTCTTTGTATGGTTAATAATTTAGAGTGATTATATAATTGTTTGCATTGTCGTAGTCGTGTAAATTTACTGTGTAGTATGTGTAAAAAACAACAACAATAATAAATTGAATGAAACTATTGGAAATTATGTATTAAACACAGTTAATATAGACACAATTGTTGCGGAGCGATTCGGAGAGCTCTACTTAAATATAGTACCTAAATATTGTAGCCTATGCAAAACAAAAGACCAGTATTCCATAACAAAAGCAAAAAAAAAATTAAAAAATAAAAATAAAAATTGCAAAATGAAATTAAAAATATTAAGCATCTAATACACAGGTGTGTCAGCTTTCTGCATCGGTTATCAAGAGGCAGAAGCAGTAACTATGTATGTGTATGGAATATATCCGCATGGATTTGGATATAAATACAAACTATATACCCAAAAAAACTACCACACACAGCTACATTATATATATATATGTGTGTGTATGTAATTGTACTTAAACTCCAATGGGAGCATTAAGCATTCATTATAATAATAAAATAATTAATAAAATATATACATATTTATTTTCGGTTGATTTTATTATATGGCAAAAAGCTTTTGATTTTAATACATAAACAATAATTGAGTAAATAAATAAGCTTAAACGTTTTGGAAAAATATATTATTCGAGCGGACTTTTTTTATTTGAATTGCAATTTTTTTAAACAATATATGATAATGATTGATATTTTACGGGATCATTGAAAAATGTTTTAAAGTTATTATAAAAGGCATTCGTAGTGTCAACCGACACAGAATAACTCTAGCCAACAGATGCTACTTCGGACTGAGTAGGCAATTGAGAAGTAAAGTTCGCTCTCGACGAACAAAGACCAAACTATATAAGTCACTCATTATTCTCATCCTGTTATATGGTGCTGATATGTGGACCAATGACAACAGTTGATGAGCCGGCGTTATGAGTTTTCGAGAGAAAGATTATGTGGAAGATTTATGGCCCTTTGTGAATTGGCTACGGTGAATATCGCATTCGGTGAAACATCGCTGTACGAGATATACATACGTTGACATTAACATAGTTCAGCGAATTAAGAGACAGCGGCTGCGCTGGTTAGGTCATGTCGTCCGAATGGATGAAAATACTCCAGCTCTGAAAGTATTCGACGTAATACCCGCGGGAAGCAAAGGAAGGCATTTGAGGTAACCTGATAACGAATAGAGTCTAAAAATTTTCCAACACGTACACCTATTCTTATGGTTTTAATTGTTGTTGTTGTAGCGATTACCTAACACTGTTTGGGACTGTAATATGTTGATGTCATCGAAATCACTTAGCGGCAGGCCCGGGTTAAGAGTTTTTCCGACGAGTGCGGAACACAGGAACATGCAAAGAGTTGGTTAGTATCATTGCATGCAGGACAAAGATTTTGTAGCTTTGGGCTGTTATTCTGCGATGGGTTGTGTTTGCACTCCAAGTACGCCATTGACTGGGAGGAAGTCAATTAAGGTATTAATGGCTGCACTATGAATGACATTCATTGCATGACGGAAATTGGTCGAATCCGAAATATGGTCGGTGTATTGTTTGATTTCGTCGACGAATTGCAGAAATGTTCCTGGGAGGCGGCTCCGCTTCAAAAAGGTTACTGCAAGGAGAGCACAATGTTATGCTCCTTTACAGGAAGCATGCTGGGTGTGATGTTCTGACAGATCTGTAGCTCCTCCATATGCGTGCTGTTGCATTCAGGGGCACTTATTGACGTGGCGCAGTTGATAACCAACCGACCGATGGCCTTGTATGTTATCAACAACGTCTCTTTGTCTTTGCGTCAAGGTCAGCTTTGTACTTTCGTGACAATCCTTGCTGTGTGCGGAAGGAGTGCAAATTGTCTAATCTAAACCTGAAATTTTAGGGTTGTTTCAATGTCATCGACGGAAATGTTGAGGTTCAGTCTGTACTCCTTCGTCTAGTTCGTTAACAGAGTAGCCGTTGATTTGGCAGGTGGCCGATGTCATCATCGCGTAATCTTCTGTTGGTTGCGGGAGTTTCAGTATGTAATGATTAAACAGCGGCGTAGAGAGCACACCCTGTTTGATTCTGTTCAGTTTTTATTGTTGAAATAGTTAGTAAAGATGATTGTCGACTGCTCAGATGGTGTGTGGTCCACCTCTTTAGTCTTGGAGCGAGCAATGTTTGTTCGATGTTTTCAATGTGTCAAAAGCTTTCGACAAATCTAGTTAACTCATTCATGACAAATACATATAGTTCCACAGGTACTCGTATTACATAATAACATACATAAAAAATTACATTTTATAAAACACGACACATTGATGAAAGCAACAACGGTTTCCAACCCATTTCCGTTTCATGTAAAATTTTATCGCTTAACTGTAAACGCCGTTCAATGTTTGGATTTGCGTGCTAGATATCTCGCCAACGATTTCATGAAAAAGCGCAGTTTCAGCATGTGGAGCTTCAATCTCACCACAAACGTTGCGATATTAAAATGCGGTTTCATTTATTGTGCCTTTACATAATTGTGCTTGAATATGCAGTTGTAACCAGGGCAGAGGAGGAGCCCAATTACAAATTCGTCTTTGACCAGATAATACCTGTAAAGGCGGATGAGGAAGTGGCCAAAATTACGTTGGAGGTGGTTAGAAGTGAGGACGGCGTGAAGTTCAGTGGCAAGGCAGAACAACTGGTGGACTTGGATAACGAATGGACGGTGACAATAATAGCTTTGATTCAAACAGGCAATTTATAACTTCCATTTCATTTCAATTTACTTCTACAGTTAAATATATTGCTAAAGATTGCTGAAGACGCGAATGGCGAGTACAATTGGCTTATGCCAGTGCCTGCATTGAGAGTTTGTGATTTCATGAAATTCTACTACCGTTTATACATTTACGAGCTGTTAGCTAAATACGCGAATGCACCGTCGCCCTTTGATTGCCCGGTTGTAAAGAACACTTATATCCTGAAGGAGTACCCTTTGGTTTCGAAGAATTTTAATCAATTTCTACAGCCCGGCTACTACCAACTAGAAGTGAGTTTGTTTCACGAAAATGACGAAAAAATCAAATACATCATCGAAGGTCATGTAGAGGAGGAGATGTAGAGGTGGGGTGTAATTAAAAAAATTATGTATATATATTTTCTTCAAATAACAGCACTTAATAATAAAAGCATTAACATGAACGCATAACTTGTATTTTGGACCAAGCAAGTAAGAAATAAAAAAACGTCGAAGTTACTTCTGAACTATCCAAGATTCAGAGCTATTCTGCAGTATCCTCCATTAGTTGTCTTATGTTGTTGTCTGTTAATCAGATCTTCTATAAAATCTTGTTAATAATATTCCAAGAATGACTGGGAAATACTGATATCAGTTCGTTCAGCGTCCAACTACTAAAATTACTGAACGATCAACACTGAACTAGTCAGTAAACTATAACCAATTTTCCATTAACAGTGGTGGAACTTGAATTCTTTTGCATGGCCATCACGGGCAAGTTTGCATAAGTCCAGACGCTGAACCCAATTTTCGATGGTTTTCAAGCATAAATTGTCCAAGTCCATACCATCCAAATCGGTCCAAAAATATTCGGCTATCATTGAGCGGTAGCGATTCCCATTCACAGTAACGAAGTACGACCCATGACGTCGCCGTCCCATAAGCCAGACCAAACCGTTATTTTTTCAGCATGCAATGGTGACTCTTGGAGCGTGGATTGCTGCCATTCAGCCAAAAATGAGCCTCATCGCTGAAGATGAATTTTCGATGAAAATCCGGATCATTTCTAAGTTGTTGCTCTGCCCAATTTACGAACATACGACGATTTCTGGTGGTCAAGCGGCTTCAGTTCTTGCGTTAATTTGATCTGTGAGAATGTAGACCAAGATCTTTTCGCAAAATTTGCCTCAATGATATCACAGAGATGCCCAGCGTTTGAGAACGATGTGTGTGAGACTGATCTGGGTCTTCCTCAATTGATGCGTTAGCGGCAGTAAAAGGCTCAACGCTATAGGCACTTCTTTGTCTCACTGGTACGGGAACATTTTGTATTGTGGCTGTGGATTAAAATTTTTCCACTAGACACTCAATTGTTGATCTGACAGGACAATTATAACGACGCTGGACGATTGGACGTAACGCTCTTAAAGTTGAGGCCACTGACTCCGACTTTCGGTAGTAAATTTTAATTATTTCGACTCGTTGTTAGATCGTACATATATACTTCCATGATGAAATGGCAAACCTTACTGAAGAGAAATGTCAAAAGAGCGGAAAAGAATATGGCTTCAGTTGCTGACCTTATTGGTCTACTTATGTAGCGTCCCTTTTGAAAAAGCCGTTAATTTAGCTATCTACGACCGCAAGCCGTTCAGCCATGGAACGCCGGAAGAAGTAGGCAACTACAGAAACGTTAACGATAACAAAGTTCGATAATTTCACGATCCGTTTCCATGAGAGTCTAAACCTATATGTATCTGCCGCTACAACAATAATAATCGATGAGATTTTGCGAACTACATCTCAGATAGATTGATAAGTTGTAATACTGGGTTTGGACAAGCGAAGATTCTTCTAAACAAATTTGTTATAGCACCAGATGGCATTAGCGGAAGAAATTAAGAGCTTCTCTGGTTGGGAAAGCTCTAACCAGCTAGAATAGAGTAGAAAAAAAGAACAATTCATAAAGAACTATAAAAGTCTTACTAACAATTTCGATACCATAAATTGCTCGAAGCAGAAAGCTTGATAAGGGAACTTTTGTATGGATAGAAGAGAGTAGGATCGGAACAACTTCTAGCATTGCAGTCACAAAATGACTATGCAGTAGTGTTATCAATTTTCCGCACTTTTCAACGCGCTCCCGTATAATTGGCGGCATGATAAATCAACAACGGTACCGCCGCAGAACATCTAATTCCGATCAATGACGCACACTTCAAATTATTATCGCGAGTTTGTAAATTATTCAACGATTTGAGCATATTGGGTCATAATTTCTAGCAGTTATCTACTTAAAACGTCCAGGGGGTATGCGATAATGCTTATGGCTATATAAGACCGCTTTGATCAGTTACGTTGCTTATAAAATGCTTAAATTGGTAACAAAGATTTCTTTAGTAATTGCGCTGCTGGTCGCTTTTGATAGTGCGAATGCTGCTGACCGGCCCATTTCGGACTGTGTGAGTTCATATAAACCCATTTTGTATTCAGCTCTGTTTAATAACTCTTACTAACACTACCAAACCAGGGTGAACGCATCATAGCTGATGGTTACCCCATGGAGCGGCATACAGTAACCACCAGCGATGGTTACATACTCACCATGCATCGCATACCTTACTCTCCGAAGGATGGAACGACTGATGGACGACCAAGTGCATTTCTCATGCACGGCATGTTGAGTTCCGCCTCCGACTGGGTGCTAATGGGTCCGAACAAAGCGCTTGCCTACATACTCGCCGATGCCGGTTACGATGTATGGATGGGTAATGCACGTGGTAATACTTACTCTAAAAAGCATCGTACTTGGCCCACATATTGGCAAGCTTTCTGGAATTTCAGTTGGCATGAAATTGGTATTTACGATTTGCCTGCTATGATCGATTACGTGCTAGATTACACAGGGAACACACAGTTGCAGTACATTGGCCACTCGCAAGGCACCACAGTTTACTTGGTGCTGATGTCGGAGAAGCCAAGCTACAATAATAAAATTAAATCGGCACATTTGTTGGGGCCCGCCGCCTATATGGGTCATATGAAGAGTCCATTGACGCGTGCCTTTGCGCCCATTTTGGGTCAGCCAAATACTATGGTCGAACTAGTGGGTTCGATGGAGTTCATGCCAAGCAATAAGTTCAAGCAAGACTTGGGTATTAAAATGTGTCAAGCAACATCGCCATTTGTCGAAATGTGCGCTAATGAGATTTTCCTAATTGGTGGATACGACTCCGAACAGTTGGAATATGTGAGAGTGAAAATAGAAAGTAGTGTACGAAAAATTATACAAATATTTAATGTAGGAGCTGTTGGAACACATCAAGGCCACATCGCCCGCAGGGGCTTCAGTTAACCAGAATCTGCACTTCTGTCAGGAGTACAATTCGAAAAAGTTCCGCAAATTCGATTACAGCATTTTTCGAAATCCTTTAGAGTATGGAGGTAGTACGTACCCACCCAACTACAAGGTAACGAACACCTTTAAAAATATTGTATTATAAAACGCTTTTGTTTTCTTATATCTTTAACTTTTGCACTCTTCAGCTAAGTAATGCTAAAGCACCTATAATGCTCTACTATGGCGCCAATGATTGGATGTGTGATGTAACAGACGTTCGTAGATTACGCGACGAACTGCCGAACATGAAGTTAGACTATCTTGTACCCTTCCCGAAATGGGCACATTTGGACTTTATTTGGGGAAAAGAGGCGAAGAAATACGTCTACGATAAAGTCTTGGAAGAAATGAAAAAGTATGAGTAAACATCGTCATCAGTTTCCATTCCACAATTATAAAAGTTTCCATAGAAGAACTTGATTTTAATTATTTTTTGGTTCTATGGCAGCGATTTGATTTAGTGGTCCGGTCTGAGAAATTTCTTCGGAGAATACACAGTTGCCTTGAACAATAATCCAAATAAAAAAATTTGAAACAAACATTGAGGGTCTAGTAGTATTCGTGTAGGGATAGCTATGTCGACTTCGCTCGTCACGCCGATCATTTATATATACATATGTTTCATATGGTCTCCGAAGTTTCTGCAATTTCACGTTCGATATTCGTACGAAGTTCATCAATCGTCGCTGGCTTGTTGGCATAGACCATAGACTTGACGTTGCCCCACAGGAAATAGTCTAACGACCGTAAACCACACATTGTCCAATTCCTATCATCCATTTCAAGCCAAAAATATTCGTTTATTATCGAGCGGTAGCAACTCTTATTCACAGTAATGTGCTTGATCATCACGAAGAAGTGCGGCCCAAAAACCGCACCAAACCGCAATGGTGACTCCTGGAGTACGTGTGGATTGCTGCATGACCAATCACACACAAAGATGAATTTTCGATGAAAATCCGGATCATTTTCAAGTTGTTACCAGTCCAATTCACGAACATACGACGACTATGGTGATCCAGCGGCTTTCGTTTTGCGTCAATTTGATATTGTAAAGATGTAGGCCAATTCGCCACAACGACGTCACAGAGATCACCAACGCTTGAGAGCGACGTATGAGCCGTTCCCACGACAGTCGGGTCTACGAAAACCGGAACGGACCCGGATTTTTATCCGGCCAAGGACTGTCAACTCGGCAGAATTCTGCCGTTACAACAACAACAACAACAACCGACGTATGAGAGCCTGATTTGGGTTTTCCTCAATTGATGCGCTGGCGGCAGCAACATTTTGTACTGTGCCTTTAGATTAAAAATTTTCCACTAGATGCTCAATTGTCGATCAGAGAGGACGAATATGACGACCATAAATTGGACGTAGCGCTCTTAAAGTTGAGTTCCGAATTTCTGTAGTAAATTTTAATAATTTCGATGTTTTTGATGAAATGGCAAACCTTACTTTCGGTCTCCTTTGTAGCGTCTTTATTGAAAACCCAAATACAATTGTATTTAAGTCAGTTTTGCTGCCAAGCAAACTCCAATCATAGGATTACTGCTGTAGACAATTGTACCCTCTTTGACTTTGAAAGCTTTAAAAGCGTCTTAAAATTAAAGGCTTAACGTGATTTTCGAAATGGACAAAAACCGGTACAGGAAGTGTAATATCTCGGTCGGGCAAAAAAAAAAAAAAAACTTCTCAATTTTCGCTGACAAAGTATTTTAGTTCACGTAGTACTTGAGGAACGGACCGCAACTTATATTCGTTACAACAATAATGGCTGTTCTAATCTCTTTAAATGAGCGAACAGTATTCGATTGAATGAAAGCTCAATAGTCGTATAGCAATTAAAATGCTTCGAGGATTCCCTGAACGATTTCCAAGTAATTGTTACAACTGCCAGGTCCATGTTCAATTACAACATTCCCTTTGGGAAGAAGTATAATAAATTAAAGTTTATGAATATATGCCAATTAAATAGTAATGATACCTTTGTCTATGCATCAAATATATAAATTGTATGTGGTTCTCTGTGTTACATATATATGTAGTAGATATAATCATAGCAGGTGTAAACTATTGATTGGCGATAAACTGGACTCATGTGCACTGTGTCACTACTTCAAATGTACGGACACGTATTAATTTGAGTAACCCACGGTTACCAGTGAGCCATAACAAATGACGTCTCATCTTTGTTATCTGTTACGCGCGACTTAAATAATATTTTACAATCAAATACGAAACCGTTAGGGGAAGATAATAGAATTGAAGAAAAAATAAAATATAAAAGCTTAAATATCAAATAAATTACTTTTAAGAAAAGTTCAAAGTTAAAAAAAAAATCAATATGAAACATCAACAAGTTGTTGTCGACTACTGGAATATGATAAAAACTTCATTTACCTGTTTGTTGTTGGCCTTCTCTGGCTATATTTTAATCAAGTAAGTTTTAACAGATATGAGGACAAACAAAGTAAGAGACTAAACATTTAATTTCAGAATGGTACAAACCATATTTTGGTTACCAGGCTATTTACAGAAGAATCAAAAACGTTTGGAAGAGTTGGCAGCGCAGTACTCTTTGGATTTAGACGATGATAAAAGTCTTGCTGATGTGCTCAAAGCACAGATTGAAGCAACTATAGAGGAAAAAGAACCGCTAACAAATGAGAAGAGTGGTGAGGCTAAGGACATTGACGCAGATGTAGTGGCGAATGTGCAAGGCGAGCCCAAAAAGCAAAAATAAATATGTTTCATATTAGTGTAACCACTTTATTAGAATTTTATATTACTTTATTTATACGTTATGTATCTATGCAAATATATAGTATATCAATCTTTTATAGCGCAGCTATAAATCTATGTCAATTCTACTATAACCGGCATGTCCTCAGGATCTTCATCAAGCAAACCCTCAAAATGCCATTGCAAGGTTTTCTGTAATTTTCTACTAAGTTTATCCGCACTTACGCCCAGACCACCCAAATTTAGGTTAATTAGCAGCGTACGCACATCCTTATAAACTGAGTTATATTCACCTGGTTCCATAAGTTCTTCGGGCAGGTGTGGTAATTGTTGCATCAATGCTTCAGCATATTTCATATAAAGTATTTTAAAATTTTGCACTGCTTGCTCAGAATGTGCCAACAAATGCAATATATTGCGCCAATGTGCCAGAGACTCTACCGAACAACCAACAAGATAAAAAACAAAAGCCAATTGCTCCTCCTCAATCAAAGCTTCCGAACTATGAAACATGCCAACCAATGTCTCAATTGCATGCACACAATCAATGCTATGACGCGATACTTCAGCAGGCGTTGCATTCTGTGGCACACGCGCAGGTAGTTCAGTGAAGCGTGGCGCAGTGCCTTCAACTGGCTTTAAGTTGGGTAGCAAATCACTTTCGTTTACAATTGTTTTAGTGCTTTGTTGTTGCAAATTGTTTGTGTGTAACGTGCCTCTGGGTCGATCCTCATCGGAACAAGATTGTAATTCTACATTTGTACGTATTGGACCCAATGTTGGTCTGCAACGTTCGACTGTGCCTTCGGTCACTTTGTCTGTTAAGAGTTTCCATTTATTGTAAAATCGATAATCGTAAGGGGCTAGAAAACTGTCGAATTCCTTGAGATTATCGCGTATACGTTTCTTTTCTAATTCTTTGTCTTCAGACTGACTCTCTTGCATTTCTTCATCGCGTTGGCTCCACTCACGCACAACCACCTCTTCGCTTTTGAAATAATGTACAAAACCCACACGTGGTGCAACATCACCATATGGACCGCAGGATGCACACCAGATGTAATGCGGACCGGGCGGTATCATTTTTACGCCACGAAATTTTTCGCCAATTTTGTAGTTGCATAGATCTATGCCGAATTCTGTGCCAACTGGCGCTCCTGTTATTACCAACACTGCACCGGTAGCGAATAATTTCTTGGCCAGTTCAGGATCCATTTCCAATGCGGATTCGTCAACATTCATGGCGTTATTTATTTATTTAAATATTTGCTACCACAAGCAATTCTTTCTTTATATTGCGAAAACAAATGTATCGTTTAATTCAATCAGCTGTTTAATGTATACAAATGAAAGTAGAACCCACACTATGATATAAAGAGTTGCCGTACGTTTTGGAATTCACAATTTTTTATTTAAACCACTACATGTGGGTTTTATTTAAGGGTTACTCTTAATTACAAAAACAATAATGGAATATATTTTAATAAAAATTCCTATATATGTATATATATATATATTTGTCTTTGAAATGTAGATCATTAACAGTAACCATTGCCTTTGTACCTCGAATTTTGCACAACTCTTGTGTTGAGCGTAATTATCCCCAAACCAAATTCAAATAATTTTTTATTACATTTATAGATATATATTGTAGATATATTTGCACTCAAAATATTATAAAACAAAAGAATAATTGAAAAATATTGTACTTAATCGTCTAACTAATGTATATAACTCAGCTCAGCTAAGCTATTTAAACACATACACTAATTAGCATTAACGATATATGTAAACATATACGTGTTTTATTGGATATATGTATGTATGTATATGCATGTGTACTTTTATAAATACAATTAAAATACAAAAAATACAATTATATGTGTCTACCCAAAATACATCCTTATAAGGTATAAGCCTATCATAAAATGTTAAACATTTAGCCATTATTACCGTTATAAACAGAATGCGGAACTCTGTCTTCTTGTTTTATTCACGCAGGTGTCAAAGTTATCATATATTGATTTTAAATCAAAATATGTGTTTTACTTGTAATTGCAAGTACATATGTATGTGTGTATATATAATATCGCATTTTAGGATTAACGCCAAAAATCAGTTGCGCTTCTCTAATAAACTTGAATTTTCGTATTTAACAGCACACTAACGGTTTTTAATGTGTTTTAATACGATTTTTTCAGCTATAGTAAATAGATAAATTCGCTTATGCTGCTATGCAGTGTTCAAAATAATCATTATTTAAGTCATTTCGGTTGCTAGCAACAAATAAATTATATAACTTTTGGAGCTTTACAAAAATAAAATAATTTGCCATTGGACAATCTAGGACAATCTATGAGCAAATCGCGCTCTACTCGTGTTACAATTTATAGTGAGTATTTATATGATAAATATGCAGGCGCCATCTACAGCATACCTCATAATGTTGAAAAAAAAAATTATAAATAAATGAGGTTTTTACATAAAACTTTACTTATTGTGGAATCACTTGTTGCTGTGACCATTTCATGGTTCTAAAGTACGTAGAGGAAGACGATTGTAAGTGTTAGCGAGATTTACGTTGGCAACCGACAATAATTCGGGACGTTCAGCCAGTGTATCGGAAAGAGCGCGGAATAAGATGTCTGCAAGAAAGAAATGTTTGACAATAAAAATCTTTGCAATAAAAATTAAAATTAATAATAAACATACGTAAAACTTTCTTCTGCAGATCAATTGGTATGACACCAAGATTGCCCTCACGTTCCAAGAAATCAGTTAATTTCTGTAATTCGTGCTGTGCCTCGTCGGAGCCGTGTGTCAACGACTGTGAGAACATAATCTGCAAATCGAAGTATACCAATATACATACATATCTTACATATGTATATCCTTATACACATATGTACATATAGACAGCGCGTAAACTTACCTTAGCCAATTTGTATAAAATGTCTTCCAAAGTATATTCATTGTACAAGAATTGCGATATCTTAGCTCTTTCGCCGTTCTCATCATAATCATTAAGATCTTCAAAAAGATAAATTGAAAAATTGTTAAATTCATAATTTATTTTTAAATGATTAATTAATTTTAATATGCAAATTTAATTATTAAAAAATTTTCTCACTCACCTTGAGTGCCATCACTGCTTAGCACTGGCAATTTAGGCCATACTGGTACACTTTCAACTGGTTTCATTTGATTTTGATTGCTGGTGTGCAGTAGTCGCTCCAGTTGTAAATAAGGAAGCAGTGGTTTTTCATTTGTTGCTGCGACAGTTGGCGGTGCCACCGGTTTGGTCTGTGGCATGTCAAACATTTTCTAAAATCACACAGACATGTATAAGGCAAATATATTTATAATTTAGGTCTCTTACCTTATCAATGTTTATATTGAGGCCGGCTTCGGGGAAGATGCGATTTGTATATGACTGCTGCAGATACTCAATGCCAATACGTACTTCTCTTAGGAATGCCAGAGCGTTTTCACGTGACATCTACGAACAAACATCATTTATACCAAATCACAATTATTAACATTTCATTGAGACATACCACTCCCCGTTCGATTAGTTCTTCAACGGCGCGAGCCACACCTGCCTCATCGCCAGTCCAAAACACGTACTGCGCCATGTCAAATGCTGATAATTGACCATTGTGACGTTTAAGAAGCGTTTCGACGGTCTATTCAGTGTACGATATTAAAAATATAAATTTAGATTTAAGTTAGTAATTTAGTGTAAAAAGAAACAAATTGGTTTCGTGATATCTAGTATTTGTATGTATGTATGTAAATAGTTTCTGATTATGAATTGCGTGGCTCTGACAGTTATGAAAAGAATGTGTTTGGATGTATGAATTAAAAGTAATGCGGCCACGAAGTTTAAAATTAAAACAAGAAAACCCGTTAACTTCGCATGTACTGAAGCTATAATACCCTTCACAGTTACATTCCTTATAGCATAAACGAGTATAAAGAATCTTTATCTTGAATTGTAGTGTTCCGATCTGAAAAGTTTGTTTGGAAATTTTATTATTCTTTGAAATATAAGCCAAGTCAAATTTCGTGAAGATATGTGGACATAAAAAAGTTTTCCATAGAAGAACTTGATTTTGAATGTTCAGCTCGTATGTCAAATATATGATACAGTAGTCGGATATCGGCGATTCCTACAAATAAGCAGCTTCATGGAGAAAAGAGGATGTTTGCAAAATTTTTGATCGATATCTCAAAAACTTAGGGACTAGTCCAAAGTTAAATCGATCAAATATGTATACATATTGCAGGGTCTCCAACGTTTCTTTCTGCACCTTAGCAACGTAATGGCAAATTTAATAAACCCTGTTCAGGGCATAAAAATCGATATTTAAATTATGCTGCTGCCAAAAGATTAATTTCAAATTCACTTACTAGCTTGCCAACTATTTCAAGGATTATTTGATTGCATAGCTTTTTGAACCATACATACTTAACAACTAATATATCTATGCATATATAGTAATATGGATGATCATATATGTACATATGTATATGTTTTTATGTAGTATGAATGTATTTACTTATGTGCTTAGGCAGTGGGAGTCTTTCGAATCTTGGCCAAGCACTTGATGTGCATGAATTGATTTATAACCCTGCAAGCAAAAACATACATATATTACACATAAAATTTATCGTTAACAATTGGTGCCTTTCTGAATGAAATTCTTTTGTGATTCTCATATGTATCTTTAAAAAGGCAACCAATACAGGCTATTTCCTTGCAGGGCTGTTCTCATATCCGTTAGCTGTGTATGACACAAATATGTATGTATAGTATGTGTTAATGTATGAAGTGAAGAACATTTCATCATAAGAACCTGTTGTGGCTTTAAGGGGACCGAACGACGTTGGGTTATTGGTTTCATTTGCTCGATCAATTTCTCTGTTGGACTCGTTTGCGCGGTTTCTTGCCCATTGGCGGCGACATTCGCAACGTCAAGTGGAAGTGTATCTGATTCAGGCGCATTTGTGTCTTTGCCTGCGCTAGTGGCTGGGACGGTTGCTTGAGTAGTGGTGGTTGTTGTTGTTGAGGTTGTAGTGCTTGTGGAAGTAGACGTAGCGGTTGTGGAGGTAGTTGGAAGTACTTCCGGATTTTGACCGAATGCCAAGCGGGCGGCACCATAGAAAGGCTGTAGCGAATACATTTACATCCATAGACACACATACATACATTCGTGCAAATTTATGACATTTGAAGGAGGATATTGCTATATAAAGTTTACCCATTTACATACAAATATATACAAAAGTATTTACCTTGATAGCAGATGGTGCAGGCGGACCGCCACCATTTGGTATAACTGAACCAAATTCAGCAGTTTGCTGTTGGTTAGCCGCAACACCCTCTGCTGGTGTCTTACCACCGTTGTCATGTTGTAGGGTGGGTGGTCGATGGACGCCACCACCTTCGACTGGTGACAGTTGCTCGCCACGCGTTTCGGGCTCCACTGGTGCCACCGATAACTCTGTTGTTGTGCTCTTCTCTAATTTTGTAGTAATAGCAGGCATTTGCTCCAATTGACGTTCCAATTCTTGCGATTCACTTAGTGGTTCAGCACTAACTGGTTTACCGACGCCAACATCGGACACAAAAGTTTGCTCAAAATTTGACGGCAATTGTACAGTGGCTTCTATGTTTTCACTACCATAGTGGTCCTTCAAATGCTCTAGTTCCAACACATCGGCATCGGACTGAGAAGGAGAGAAGCAGGATGTTAGCTAAGTCAATTAAGGTCTAACTGAAATATATATTTCACATATTTGGTAACATGTGTGTTTGTATTTATGGATAGATGGATGTATGTATATGTACCAGTGGTAAATAAAGCTTACTTGTATTTCCAAGCCGCTCTTTTTGAATCTGTAAGCGTTTTCGCCATATGCGGAAGAACCTGTAAAGATATATTGTATACATTTAATAAAATATGAGTACATTTTGCAAACCGCTCATATTAAAATTTAGAATTGTTGCTATTGTTTGGAAAATGATCTGAGGCGATTTAGCCATGTCCGTCTGTCTGTTCGTCTATTTATATGTATATATGTATGTATATTGTCATATAAACTGAGAAATCATATTGAACCGAAGTAATCCTTTTTCTTGTTTTAGTATCGACTTTATTTTCAATAATATCATCAAATAGTGTATTAAGTACTTTATGTATTCAGTACTTACCAAATAGAAATGGTAGATTTATAGTTGGATATGCGTAAAGTGCAATGACTCCATTGAGTAACCAAATCACTGCGTGCAACTGTTGCGAAAGCATTTTGCCCTTTTATGTGTTTCGCTTAAACTAAATCAAAAACCAATAATATATACAAGAAATTTATTCAGTTTGCAAATATGTATGTTTTCTTGATCCTTCTAAGATTTTCAGCACGTTACACGCAAATTGTAAACATAAACTCGTAAGCATTACCCTTCTAATGACAATTTATAACAAATATGGTATATTGCTTGCTTATAAAACGATTAATCCTGCCAACAAGCAGCGTTGAAAGGATGCAACGACCGTCATCGATTGCTGCTAACACTTTAATCCATTCAAATTGCAAACATTTAAGGATGCACACATACATACATGCATGCACGTATATGCGAAATATTCGGGTGCACGAGCACTCGTGCCTACCGTGTATTATGCGTTCGAGTGTCTAAAAATAGCATGAAAACACCAACAAATCGATATTCCACAACAAAAGTAACTATGCAAATTGTAAAGTTAAGAAAACAGTGCCAACAACGTGACATGTTGGAGGGAATGGCAGTATACATATATGTATGTACATATAAGTTATGTACATAAGCCAGCTTTATAACAAAGTAGTTCATTGCGCAATTGAAGGAATGGTTGAAATTGATTGAAGTTGGCAGGCAAATGATTTATTATTAAGTATTTTGCATTACACACACTATATATTACTATATTATAAAATTAACCTATCACCTATAACCTATTTATTATTAGGTTGATATTATTTCCGACTATTCGCCCTTGAAACTAAACCATACGTGTATAAATAACCGTTTTCCTAGCGTAGTGCATAAATGTAGGCAGTTTCCGCCCCACTTCCGTATTAGAAATCAATGCAATGCATCCATGGATTCACATCAATCAAAAAAACTACGCAGGTTAGAAAGGCAATTCTCTCTATTACAATATGTATTAGCATATTGTGTTATTTTTTAATTCTAAAACTGGATGTCGTAATATTCCGGCGCTTCAACACGCATTCTAAATAAATAATGTCTCATTCCTTCTCCTTAAATATTTTTTTCTCTTTGTTTATTTTTAGCGACTTTAAATTGTCGGTCTCTTTGCAGCTTGCTACCCACTCAGGTAATCCTATTTTTTCTGTTATAACTGCATTCAGTAGTTATTTTTGCAAATTTCTTATTTCTTTCATATGGAACTTCCTGATTTAATTTACATCACTTATCCTTGCACATACCACTAGAATTTAAGAAAACACGTCCGCTCTTTTCGAAAGTATGAGAACCTTTAGTTGCTAGTTGCAACTTGCAATCATCCTTACCAAAACAGTTTGAACTGTCAACCACTGTCCACGAAGCTTTTAAAGGCTAATGAAAGCTTTTAAGCTTTATTTGAACCATGTCCAACTAATATACATATATACAAATGTAACTTTTAAAACAAAACTTGGTTATTGTTGTAATTGAAAAGGTTTTTTAACAACACATTAATTTTATTTTTGTTTTCACTATATATTACTAATGGCAAATTAACTGCATCCTGGGAATGGCTCACTGCGATTTTTGCGTAGTACAAACTGTATTTTTCGGTTCATATCTTCATTGTAGATTGCTTTGCATTTCTCGAAGTTAACGCGACGTCGTACCTGAAACATAAAATGAATTTAAGTATTTAGATATCAGTTCGTATTTGTATGATACTACCTGGTATGGTTTTTCATAAAAGCGTGTTCGCCGGTATTGATCAAATATTTCTTCTTTACCCAAAATACGATTTAATAAGCGGCAAGCTTCTTCAACATTATTTTTTTGTACCATTACGGTACGAGCAATGAATTGTGCGTGTTTCATTTTGTTTTTTAATTTTCAAACAATATTATATATTATTTTATACACCCACAGAAAAATATGCTGCAACTAAAATATAAACAGCTGATTAATCATCCCCATTAGTAAACATACTTGACATCTAGATGTCACAACAGTACAACTGCTTCAGTAAACAAAAACTACTTTATAATTCTGACTGGCTTTCTCTGGTTTGTATTTGCATATAAAATCATTTTCATTTATTCCCAATCTTTTACATTCTCATTTATTAAAAAGAAACATTTCAGAATATTAACAAAAATATTGAAGAATAATATATTTTTTACTATCAGACTTCTTTGTCGGCAATAGCAGAACATCTGGAAAAATTCGATAAAATATCGATTTTCAGTGATGTAAGCAATGATAAATACAACATCCGAATACTTAGTAAGGCAAATCAAAACTTCGTGTGTTTCATTTGTATAGTTCTTGCCGCAATATTTGTATCTTATTAAACTTTATGAGCAAAACAAGTCCACCCAAGTACGAATAAATCATTTCCAATGTTAATTTTTATCAAAAGACATATGAAAGCAAATGTATTCATTCATAAAAGAAGAAATTTCATTCGGAAAAAAATATTTTTTATTATAAAGAAGTTACATCTCTCCACCTTCAAGACCCAATTATTCTTATACATATTTGTAGTAACCACCTTTGTAATATTACTATTAATTTTATGATATAAGTTGGTTACTAAAGTCGGTATAATAGTTTGCTTCGAGAGAAGCCCGGTCCATTAGAAACGATAAATAATAATCGATAAGATCTGTATTACCGACACTCACGTTTCTATTCTAGAAAATTCATGCGTCAGCCTTGTTCGGTATTCCACATTTCCTCAGTTGAAAATCAAAAGGGCACTCATTTGAAGTTTCTTCTCGTCGGAGGTTTATCTTGATCGCAGTGTGACCACGTTTCTATTGTGAGTTTAAAGAAAATATTGTGTAAATTATTGTGGCGTTTACAATATATTAAACAAGAGATAACGGCTGGCAACAGGAGATAAAGAAAACACTATTTACAAACTGTAAAAATAAATTTTTCCTTAAGTTCTATACCCCACAGGCAGGTAATTATAAAATAGCTGGAATTGTATATTGCGTACTTAGATTTGCAGAACTAGTAGACTACAGAAGAATTTTCAGGGACAATTTTGTAATATTAATATTTATCTAATTTCTAAAATGAAATGTTCGTGTTGCAAGTACTAGATGTAAAAACAAACAGAATAAAAGTTGGAATATACGTAGTATTTACATAATGAAATAAACTACTAACTAATGGAGGGATGGCGTCAGGTCAACAGTGTAAAAGTCAGCATATGGTATTCTGGAACTTCGTATCATAAAACTAGATTTAATTTTGCAAATGAATAGCGAGTTGGCGTCTAAAATTCGAAAAAAAAAATTGAACTAGGTACATAGGTATCTAATAGCCAGACAGGCGGTGACGAAGGTAAAATCGATATTACTGCAGCAAGCTACAACAATCGAACTTCGAAGTGTTCGTAACTCGTCGTTTAGCTTTGTTCGTGCAGTTTTGTTAAATGTAGTTGTTCCTACTCGTTACTTTTTATGCACTTTTTGCCCCTCTTGAAATTGAATAGTTGAACGCATTTTTCTGGATATTTCGTAATTGCAAAGGTTTGCAATATTCATCTATTATTTGAAAAAATCGGGTAGGTGAGAGTATAACGAATGGGATCATCGAGAATACACTTTTGTATCTACCTGTTATGTCTGGCAGCACATTGTTGTATAAAGAAAGCAGGTAGAAATGGAAAGAAAGTTCTACTGTATCTAGTCATATTTGCCGATCCATGAATAAGCACAATTTTCATACATCATGTTCAGTATTGATTTGGAAGAGCAACGGCCCAAACGTTAAAATTCAATTATAAAAGTATAAAACAATTTTGCAGTTTTAGTTTCAGCTACTAAAATATACCCAACAGTGCTATGGCCTTTTAACAAATTACTTTGAAAATAGTGGAAGACAAAAAAAGTGGAGACTTTTTGATTGGCTTACGAAGCCAGTGAATGATTGTGTAAATTAAACATTTTAGTAAACGTGTTATATTAGAATTTTACATCAATTATACTTTACATTAGAAATATCAAAGTAATACAAAAACTTTTGAGGCAATGAAAAAAATTGGTCAAAAAAATTAATATTTCGTTTATATATTTTGCTCACTTCGTGTATTTCTCTACACTTTTCAGGTCGTACATTTTCGTCTTTTTTCCTTTGGAGGAGCTGTGAATACTTTTTTATTTGATTCATAGACAGAATAGAAATAAGATAATATGGTTAAAGAAACTGGTTATTATGACCTGTTGGGTGTGAAGCCCGACGCCACTAGTGAAGAGCTAAAGAAAGCCTACAGAAAATTGGCGTTAAAGTATCATCCAGACAAAAACCCAAATGAGGGTGAGCGTTTCAAAGCAATTTCACAGGCGTATGAGGTGCTGTCAGATCGTGAGAAACGACGGATCTACGATGATGGCGGCGAAGCGGCGATCAAGAAAGGCGGTGCTGACACAGGTGATTTCCGCAGTCCCATGGACTTCTTTGAGAAGTTCTTCGGAGCTGGTTTCGGTGGTGGCGGTCGTCGACGTGAGCGTCGTGGTAAGGATGTTGTACATCAGATGTCTGTTCAGTTGGAAGAATTGTACAATGGTGCCACACGCAAGCTGGCATTGCAGAAAAATGTGATTTGCGACAAATGTGAAGGTCGCGGTGGCAAGAAGGGTGCAATTGAGAATTGTATGCAATGTAACGGTAGTGGTGTAGAAACCCGTGTACAACAGATCGGACCGGGTTTAGTGCAACATACCGAACAAGTTTGTCGTAAATGTTTGGGAACTGGAGAGATGATATCTGAAAAGGATCGTTGTAAGCAGTGTAATGGTAGGAAAACTGTTAGGGAACGTAAAGTATTGGAAGTTCATATAGAGAAAGGTATGCGAGATGGGCAGAAAATTATATTTAACGGTGAGGGAGATCATGAACCAGATTCACAACCTGGCGATATTATCATATTATTGGATGAGAAAGAGCACTCCACATTTGTGCATGCCGGTACGGATTTAATGATGAAAATGCCAATTCAATTGGTGGAAGCCCTTTGTGGATTCGAACGTGTTATTAAGACACTTGATGATCGTGATCTTGTGATCCGATCAAAACCGGGCGATGTTGTCAAACATGAAATGACCAAGTGTGTCATGGAGGAAGGCATGCCGTTGTATAAGAACCCGCTGGAGAAAGGTCGTTTGATCATTCAATTCGAAGTAATCTTCCCCCCAACTATTCCACTAACAGTTATTCCCACACTCGAACAATGTCTACCCCCAAGGCCAGAAGTAACCATACCACTAGATGCTGAAACAGTCGAATTGGTAAGTTCATTTAATTTATGTTAATTTATAAATTATTACAACATTCTGTACAATTTCAGGAGGAATTCGATCCCAAACAACGACGCCAACAACAGCACCAACGTATGGCGTATGAGGAAGATGATCGCGGTTATGAGCAAGGACCCAGAATAGAACAGTGCTCGTCAAGTTAAGCGCATACCGCCAACATCTCCAACATGCTAATTATGTTTAATCGTTTAAATAATCCTACAATAATAAGCCGTGAACACGCAGAAGCACTACATACAACACTAGATAAATTTTAACAACTCACCTGAGGGTTCATTTACTGGAGCGATTAACGAAGCGCCTGTTGGTTTCCTAATTGACAATGTGACTTTGCTGCAGCAATGTTTTCTTTTTCACAACAACCATCGCCAAACAGCACAAGTCCGTAAAATGAAAATATATGTATCGCTACCATAAACATGTACATCCCCTTTTTTTGGAAAAGTCTCTATGCAATGTCATAAACAAGGCGAATTCCTTAAGGCTATTCAATTTCACTCTAGACTACAAATTAGAAATTCAAAAAGAACTATTCATTTAAATGGTTACATTAACGGCAAATATACTATAACACTTAAATCTGTGTATCTTCTTTTATTTACTGTTTGGAAATTTCAGCGAGTATGTGAGAATTTCAGCATAATTTTGGGAATTCATCAAATTTGGACTAACATTTTAGGTAAAGCCGGGCTTTGCTATTCAGAAGCTGATGGAAAATTGAAAAAAAAAACGTAGGTGTAACTTTGAGGTTATGTTGGAATATTTTAGTCGTAAAACATTGCAAACAATAACAGCTGATTGTAAGTAAACATCAACAAAATTATAGAGAAAATATAAAGAAGTCACGACTCATTGCACAAAAAAATAAGCGAAACTATGAATTTAATTATAATTTAAATAAGGGTTTTTCTATTTATTAATTTTTTTAGGTTTTTTTTTATTTCATTTTTATATATTTAAAAAAATTATTTCGACTAATCCGAAGCTAAAATAGCCTTCAAAGGTACAAGCTTTTCTTACAATAAGTTCATTTTGATCGGTCCGTATCGGCTATGTTCGAGGATTGCACTTTTGCGAAGAAGATCCCTTTTCAAATTAAAAAGTTTTCCATAGAAGAATCTGATTTTGATAGTTCAGTATGTATGGCAACTATATGCAACAGTGGTTCGATATCCATATCGGTTCCAATGAGTAGCATATATATATATATATATCCATATCGTGGAGAAAAGGACGTATGCAAAATTTTAGATCGATATTTAAAAAACTGAGGGACTAGTTCGCTTATAGTCAGAGCGACAGGTGGACATGGCTAAGTCGACTCAGTCGTCACGCTGATCTTTTAAATTTTTGTTCAGCGTATAAAAAAAAAACAATTATTTATGAAAAAGACTTCTCCTTCCCATGATACTTTCTATACATTTTTTAAAACGTCATTAAGTTTTCATTCGTATATTTAAAAAACATACACGAACTTTATTATGTATTACAATAATACAGAGTTATAACTAGCTGTACCATAAAAGATGGTATAATATTATTAGCTTAAATAAGTGTCTACGAATGCCCTCTATTCCATATCTAGACGAAATTCCTGAGTGCAGTCACCACACCCAAGCCAAACAACAGTTTATCCTCAATGACCTTCCAACTTTTCTCTTGCACTTCTGAAACTTGCTCCAATGCGTCAATAACACTTTCAGAGTCCAATAAATCTATGCCGTAGACACGTAGGAAAACACTCAAGTACGCTTGCGCCAGTTCATAGTTGATGTTTGACTGAAACATCGATTCAATTGTTTTCAAAAACGCAACCATGATGCGATAAGAACCGCCGCCATTCGGATGCAACGATTTAATTTCAAAATCAATCATGGATGGACCAAGCTGTTTAAGATGATCAACACATTGATCATAATTTTTGCTGTCTGCCGACTCATTAAGCATTTTACCGAAGTTGGTTAATGTGCTGAGACCACCAGCACCTGGCTGCAAGACACGCGAGCCATCATTATTAGCTGCATTGTCGGTGTTTTGACCAATATCAAACTTTATATCTAAGCCAGCAACAGTTGGCAGGAAAAATGGCGCTTGTTTGGGCGTTTTAGGTGGCGCCTTCGGCTTATTACGTTTCTTAATTACTTCGAGGTCAAGCAGATTTTGCCAACGCGATGCCGCAGCGCCAGAAAGTGTAATCAAATCACTGTCTAGCTGTGATGGTGATTCGTATGTTAAATTGATCTCTTTACCCACTTCTTCATCACTCATATCCTCATCTTCATCATTGCCGGTTTCAGCCAGTTTTGTTTTCTGCATTAGATCAGCTACGTCCATATCATCGCTGGCACTAATTGGTAAACCAACGAAGGGCGGCGTACTATACGGATTGATGGAGCGCAGTGTTATTTGGTTGAAGAGCATCTTATTCGCCCACAAATATATTCCCAAATAATTTACATGTGCTGTTGCAAGAAAATCACCATTTGGTGACATGCTAAGCGACACACATGGACGATCTACTTTGAAGTGATCTATCATGTAGGAGGATGGTATATCCCATACTTTGATGGTCGAATCCATGCTTGCGGTAATAAGCCATCGACTGTCGGGGCTGAAAGTCATATCATTCAATTTAGCAATGTGTCCCTCGAATTTACGCACCACAACACGTGTATCCACATCGACAATGTGTACGGAGAAGTTAACCAGGGCAACAGCAAGCATAGCACTCTCGCGGTGTATGCGCATTAGCGCGATTCCATCAGAAAATTTAAGACACTTCATATAATTTGAAACTAGTACCAAAGGATAAAAGCAGAAAAGCTTAAATATTTACCAAAAATTCTTTCAAAAAGTAAAGTAAAGTAAAAGTAAAGTACCTTTCTCTTTGAAAGGCCAAAATTTTAGTAGACCTTCGCCACATCCAGAGATGACGAATTGATTTAGTATGTCGGAAACTACACCGCGCACTGCGCTTTTATGCGCCGGATCACCGTAACTTGCGCGATGTATGCCACTTTGAATGTTAAAGCGCTCCAAGTCGCCACTGGAATAACCTATAAAAAGTTAAAGGAACATATATTGCAGTGATTCTTGTTTATAATTATTTGTACTTGCATACCAATGATGACAAAGTTACAGCAGTGTGTGAGTGTTACACAAGTAGTAATTGTATTATAGTCTGTTCGATTCTTATTTTGGAATTTCTCCGGGATCAGACGATGTCTGCCCATGCGGTTTTTATGAAATGACCATGTTGTTGTTTGTATGACGCCTTCGTGCAGTGCCGCTATATTATCCCATTCACGTTCCCGAGTTGTCTCGCTGGTAAATTCGATAATTGGAGGCATGCGTAATGAGTCCTCTTCGAAACGATCTGTATATAGGTAAATATTTTTGTAATATTCATATAATACTGTTCTACTAACTTACTTCTCCTCTTTGACTTCTTTCGGTTGTAGCTAGCTTTGCCCATACTTTTATTAAACGATTCTGTAATGGTACTAAATACACGTAAAGCACTGTCTTCTCCAGCGGAAAGTATTGTAGTGCCACTATTGCCGTGATATCTTATACATAAAGGCGGTCCAGTGTGTCCTTCTCTTATACGTAACATGCGTGCTCCATTATCTGGCATATCGAAAATCCACAATTTCATTGAATTATCTGGCGAAGTGGTAAAAAGTAGCGGTTCGTTGTTGAAGCAAATAGCAGTAGCAACTGAGTCCTCATGAGCTTGTAATTGTCCAGCAATCTTTGAAGGAAAACAATGTTTATATTTAATTTATTAATTGGAGGGTAATATGAAAATGTCACCTTTCGATCATCCAGATTCCAAAATGCAACATGACCATTTGAACAAGCTGTGACCATTATTGGTGGTCCATCTGTTCTAAACGATATCTGTGTAACTTGACCCCAGTCTTGTTTAAACGTCATAAGTACTTCGTCGAATTTCAGATTGAGTAGTACAATGGTGCCATCTTGGTGTCCAACTGCAACGACATCTAGTGCTGGTGATGGTTGTATGCAAGTTACCCTGCTGCCCGCACCAGCAAAAGTGAACACCACACGATTTTCTTTAATATTCAAAATTTTAAGCATACCCTGCTGGGAGCCTAATACAATTTTGTTCAGATAGGCAGGCGGATGTGCCAAGGCGGTAATTAAAAATTCATCCGCGTTGAATTTTAATTCTAAGTATATTTCTTCTTTTGCTATATCCCAAACACGTAAAACATTCGCCTCATCTACAGCTATTAAATGTGCAGCGAATGGCAACAATAAATGTACATTGCGTGTGTGACCACGAAACACGTGTCGTTGGTGTTTGCCGGCGCGCCAAGCATAAATACAGCGATTACTGGCCGTGTAGGTGTGTATACGATCCATAGCCAAGGCTGTTATTTCGTCTGGATGCACTGGCCCGACATGCAATAAGCGAAAGTGGCTAGCCGTGTACACTTGAAAGGAACGACCAATACAAGTGGTGATCAATGTATCCTTACGTCGCCGCACATATCGGATCGCGGCTGGCACGCTGTTGCTCACATATCCAAGTGCTCGATTTCGTCGGAAAATCACACTACTATTAACTAAACCGTCATTTAATGTGCCCTTAGACACTATTTGCCCCGTGTTGGTCATTTTAGCGCACTCTGCTGCTCCAATCACTCACGAAATGTTTACTAATTGTGGTTACAGTTTCATTCAGCATGTGCTCCGATAACTTAGCAATCGACAGCTAGTTGTGCTGAAAATTTATCGATTATTTTTTTTGAATGTTCATACGAAGTGGCCACTTTGATTTGTATTCAAATCGTAGAATTGCTAATTTCCCAAGAATATATGCGTTTCGAAAGTCGGTCCTAAAGATTTTTCTATTTCTTAATGAGCATAAATGTTTATCTTAACTGAAAATAAACTTATTTATAGCATAATTGTCATTATATTTTATTTTGTCGACGAACTAATTTTTAAGATTTTTTTTATATCGTTGGTTAAGTTGCACATCCGTTAGCTTCCTGTTCGCAATTTTTGACAGTGCCATTCAAAGAGTTTGAAGTTTCAACCGCCTTTATTCGCAAAGTGCGCGTCGGTTGCTAATTATTTGTGAAATTTGCATATTTAACCAATTTAAATGAATATAATTCGTTCTTAATCGCATCAGTGAATAAAATTAAATGAGTGATATGTTTTTTGTGTAATAATAGTTAGTGCCTACAGGTATTTCATAAAATTAGCCGCAAGAGGCATGCGATGTAGTTGCGTGGCAGATGTGCCTTTGTATGGTTGGAATAAAGTGAATATGAGTTGTTTCCTTATCCGGTGTGTTATATTATTGTGGTTTAAGGAAATTTGTGATATTTTAGTTTCAACTGTCATAGTTTTCTGAACTCCCTAGAAATGAGCACGGAGCTAGAATTGAGACAATCACTTACAATATCTTCTTGGTAAGTTAGAACGAGTATGCATGTACAAAGTATGTATGTTATAAAAGTAGCTAATTGGAATTCACTTTGTTGTGAACTAATAGATTGTTACTTACCTATTTGGTAAATAAATATACAAGATATTTTAATATTCGTTTGTATTTAATATATTTTATATCTTGCATTATACAACCGTAGCGTTGCTTACTTTTATTTTTCGCAACTGGTCAATTACTTACCTGATTTCCATTAATATGGCGGATGATAATTTTAAACTTTAAATTATTTTAAATTAACGGGCGACCATAACCGGTGTAAGATTTCAGGAAAGGAATAAATATTCAATGTTTATGTTAGTTTTAAGGTTTCTTACTTAAAATTTAAACTGCAAAAATAAAATGTTATACATAGGACATAGGAGAGTCAGTTCATTTCAAATTTATTTTTATGCAACAGGTAATAACCTACCACTTTGTCATACAACGTTTTTCTATGGAACTCGTAGTTTTGCCAAAAATTGAGTTAAACCGTTTTTAATTCTTAAAAATTCAACCTCAATTTCTCTTCCCGACCTCAATTCGGCTGTAAATTATTATTAATTTTCAAATGTTGTATATTTTATATTTAGTTTTAAGGGGTTACATGGGTTTCTTCGGATAAAAAATATAATTTTTTCAACAATTATTTTCTCATACAATAAATGAAATATTTTATAAAAATTTTTTATTGTTACAAACGTACACTATTGACAAAGAAATTCTGAAAATTTTGGAAAATATTTAAAACTTAGCTATTACGACGCCATTTCCGCTGACCCCTCGGAAAAAAGATTCGCACGCGTTGGCAGGATAACTACCTACAGGATCATCTAAAGTGAAAAATACGTGTTTTAGTTAAAACTTTAACTTAGAACTTGATGAAAGGAAAAAATGAAAATTGGATATTTGGCGAACATTTTTACAAAAAAATTAAAATTTCAGTAGAAAATTAGAAAAAAATGTCTCAAATAGTTAAATTTCATAAAGAGATCTTGCCAACCGACTTCAAAAACACAGTTTCGAGAAAAACGCTTTTAAAACGACGCACTTAGCCCAGCTAGCCTCTAGCGCACAACTTCTCAGGGCTGTTTCTCCGAAACTGTTACTCTGATGAACTTGAAAATTTAGGACAAGATTTTAGAGGTGTTAATAAGGTAATAAAAAATGGATTTTTGGAAACCCATGTAATACTTGAATGGGTTTCAACCTGCTATGAATTTCTTTCCCAGTTATCTCAAGTAAAGTCAAAGGGTGCGTGAAAGGGACGAGTTTGACTATTTTAAAATTGCACTAAGTCGGAGTTATGGGAGTTTTATTCCTAAGTTTTGGTAATTTTTTTTAATTATCTATATGTTTTGATTCCTTATTAATTTATCTCACAAACAAGAGATCTCAGCTTCTTCATCTAATATTAACTTTCCGACTTAATTTTAAAACGTCGTCTTCACAGGACATCAAATAAAAGCTTTGATACTGAATTTAAGCTTTATAATAATTTATTAACATTTACATACATACTCATATTTGGTAAATAAAGGTATCCTATAGTCTTTGCTTTTCATTATCTTTGTTTTGGAACATAGAGTTTGGCTAAGTGTTTAGATTCACTATTCTAAAGTATAGTCTAATTTCCTTAGTTACATAATGTGATTTCACTTCAGAAAAGTTAAAGAAAGCATTTGAATTCTCTCCATAGCAATTAATGTACAATGCAATTGTGTGCGTTTCTTCTATATAAATTTGTGTTGTATGTGTGTTTGCCTTTGTGTGTGTTTTATGCCATCAACTGAAATTTTCCAGCCCTTAAAATTTCAGTCAGATTCAGCCATAATGCGAAAACAAGTCGTTTAATGAATTCATTGAATTTTTCCCATATTTGCTAATTTCTGCTTATATATTTATTGTATGTACATACATATTATCTGTGTTAAAGCGGAGTGGTTATACAATTTTGTGCATGCATGTGTGTGTGTGTGTTTCAATTTTCGCTAGATAATCTACCAAAATATGTATATACAAATATTTAAGGAAAATGTGGATTTCATGCTCTTATACATAAGCCAAATGCATTTGTTTTTTTTTTTTTTTTGTAATTTTATACAGCAATATTGGAATTTTCGATTTTCTGCATACTTGAAGAGCTATCTACTTTGTCCGTTTGCAACTGATGTTGGTGAAGTTAACAGTCTGGATGGTTTGTCGGCGTTGTTTCGTGGTGTCTCACATCTTAATTGAAGTTGTTGCTGTTGTCCCGGCTAAAGGCCTCGGCTGAGATGGGGTAGTCGATTTCATTGGCCCGCTCAACAGGTCGCTTCAGATGTCCACCCAACTAAATATGTGTAAAGTGAAAAAGTGTCTTAGTATTTCCTTGTATAGTATGTACAAATGTATATAAATATATCAGCAGCAATGTATGTATGTCACTTGCCAAACTCACCAATGATCTCATAAACTTGATGAGTCGATATCTGGGGTATGTGTCAATTTCCCTCTCCGGTAATAGTCCTGTCGCTTCATTAGGCATTGCTTGCAGCAATTCGTTGGGATGCAATTCGTCTCTTTCGTTTCTGTATGCACTATTTGCCAGCATCTCATCCGTTAAGGAGCCCAGCGAACGTTTTCCGTGTCCACCGTAACAAGCTTGTCCATATGCGTTGCAGCCCTCTGTAAGGCAATAGAGAATAGTGTATTTGTAATTAATTCATATCGAGTTTGGCCTACAAACTTAGACGCATGTGTGTGTTTACATATAGAAATCATTTATAGTAAACAAGGCGTGTGAGCAGTTATTTCTGGACAGCTTTGGGTTTGCTATTTTTATTTATTGTAAGTTGTTTTAAACTTTGAAAAATCCGAGCACAGAAAAGTCTTAAAGTAGGTCGTGTGAGAGTAGGAAGGGCAAAGACCAAAGGTCGCGGCGTATGACTCTAATTAAACAAAAATTCAAAAAAATAAAAAATAAATAAAAAAATAAAACAAAATACTAATATTAATAATAATAATAATAATAGTGAGGGCTAAGAGCTAACATTTCATACTCTTGTCCCTTGCCAGGTGCAAAGTCTTGTAAGTTATATGAGGTCCATGGCAAGTTTTTACCCAATTTGTCCGATATATGTAATATAAAGTCAATTGGAGGCTTTCTGAGAGGTGACTAGGAACCTATTTTTCAGAGTACAAAACGAAAATTTTTTTTTTTTGTTATCACCCTAATGTGTATATATATATCGATTATTTTTTGGTGATACACAAAAGTGCTAGATGCACTAAAGTTATTATACTCTGAATTAATATGTTGCAAGAGTATAAAAACCGACCCACTGTAATATACATATACTACACTTTGTAGGGTCTTTGATGTTTCCGCTTGGGTGTTAAAATCGTCAGGGTAAGCTTCATATTCATTGTTGAGGGTATAACAAGAGAAGCTAGCAAAGTGAACTTGTGCGTGGTCGCTTTCTTGGGGGCCTACATATAATATATGCAAAGAGCATCTTTTTGAATATGTCATAAGGTATATGCTTATATTTTTACATATGTATGTATATATGTACATATATATTCATGTATCTCTATATTTTTATGTGTTTATCTCTAACAATTTTTGAAGTTTAAATTGTTAATTTACCGCAACTTTCCCGATATTGTACCAAGTACTCCCAAAGGGTTATAAAAGGACACAGCTTAGAATCAAGCATCTTTGACCAAATTGGAAATAGTTGTGGCATGTAATAATCGAAATCAAGCAGCTATTTGGCTTTGATTTATTTCATACATTTATACATACATCTGCATTTGTAAATTTGTGTAATGAAACTTTGTTGCCAGGCGTTTCCTTTTATGAGGGGTTTCCAAGGAATTTCTTTAAGTAGACTTTAATTGTGATTAAGCATATATGTTCACTGTATTTCCATATTGTTTAAACTGTTGCCATAATATTTTGCCGCATATGGAACATATGTACATACATATGAACAAATGTATGTATGTATGTATGCAATTGAGGTGAGGGTGACGCTAATGTTGCGATCACTTAATTTTGATTAATAAATACATATTAATTTCTTTATATATAATACGTATATATATGTAAATAGATTATTGGTGTATATATAGTATATGTACCGGTAGTTGTGTACATTCACTCGTACTCTGAATGTTCAAATATATGTAAATAAAAAAGTTGCTTGCGCTTATCTCACAGCAGGCCGCGCTGCCCAAAGCCATATTAAATAGACCGAAAATAAATATTTTCTTGCATACAGTTTATATTTATATTTTTAAAATAAACAATTTACATAATAAGTTTAATTGAAATCTTCACAAGGCAAATACATACATACATATTTATGTGTTTGAAATGATTAGCAGAGGCGAAGAATTAGGGAGACCAAGTCAATTGAAGACAATATTTGAAAGCTTAAAATATTTAAGAAAATACAAATTTCGACTTCTGTTGGGTTCGTTGAACTTGTTTGGAGGCATAAAGCGCAAAATTGAACATTTCAAACAATATTGAAGTGGTTGCATTTGTAGTAAATGGGTGCTTAAAGTAGGCGGGTGAGCTCAAATAAGGAAATGTGTTTGTTTCGTCTTCACATATAGCATATAAACATAACTTTTCCGTTCCGACGTAAAACGTATATCGACATTTTCCGTGAGATAAACAATGCGTTGTACTGTTGCAAGTATTTTATAATGGCGCAGTGCAACGCTGCTGTTTGCAGGTGTCAACAATTTCCTTTACACCAGTTGTTGTTGCAAATAGAAATGTGTATTCAACTGCATTGTACTGGAAGTCGCAACTTTAAAGCTAAGGGTGTTATAAACAGTGTTCGGCATTATAATAGAGCCAATTATTCCGAAAACTAAAACCTTTCTTTTTCGTGAATAATTCATTAAATTAAAATACTTTTTAAAAAAAATTAAATATAATTCTTATTTTATTAATTTTTCATTCTTTTATCATTTTTTTCACTCTTTTTTATATTATTTCATTGATTCCATATTCCGAACATCCGTCCGAAACTAATGCCCTTGTGCGCTTTTTTTTTACTCAAATATCTCTAACCTTGAGCCGTAAAAAGTGTTTTTGTGAAGAGTTCCTATTTATAACTTTAATATGAAGAAATCAGAGCCGAAAGTCAAAGTTTACACGTGATTTAGAGTTCAATTGGGTTCAAAGACGAGGAATGTCCCCACAATCTGCGCCATCCACCGTGGCATAAGCCTCCTTAACATCGCATATAAGGTTCTATCGAGCGTATTGTGTGACAGATTAAAGGGTAACGAAATATCTCCTCTCATCAAAAAAAAAAAAAAAAATCGTCGCACTTGCGACTTTGATCCCATAACTCACTACTCATAACTTCACTCCTAGATAATTTTGTATACTTTCGAAGCACCATTAATGTCAGCCTCAAAATCAATCGCAGAATAGCTTTCGCCAACAGGTGTTGCTTCGGACTGAGTAGGCAGGAGTCCTCTCTCGACGAACAAAGATCAAACTATATAAGTCACTCATTATACCCGTTCTGCTATATCACATTGAGTGCCATGTCGCACATTTTCGTACGACAATAAAGCAGATCGGGATGGTTCAGATATAAATATATACTATTTTTAACGCCTTCATAACAAAAAACCAGAGCCTTGAGAAGATTTTTGTCAAATTCGCTTGGCACTCAATGTGTTATGGTGCAGAGGTATGGACGAAGTCAGCGTTACGAGTTTTCGTGAGAAAGGTTCTGCGGAAGATTCATGTCCTTTACGCACTGTCAACGGCTAATACCTCAGTCGATGGAACGATGAGCTGTACGAGATATACGACGACATTGACATAGTTCAGCGAATTAAAAGACAGCGGTTAGATCATGTCGTCCGAATATATGAACCACTCCAGTCCTGAGAGTATAGCAGTAGTCGCCGGGAGATGCAGAGGAAGAGGATATTCAATTGGCGTCAAACAGTAAAAAGAAAGAACATTGTAGAGCTATTGTAAAATCGGCTACAACCGCGTAAGCGATGTCTACCCCAAGAAGAAGGAGAAGTGAATATATGTATTAACTGAAATGAAACTCCCAGTAGTGCAATTTTCACACATTTGGACCGTTTCGAAAAAATTTTAATTCGCATACGCGAAGCTATCCAAACAGTCATTAAATTCAATAATTAGTCTCTTGAGAAAGCCTAAGGATTTAAGTTGCAAATTTGGTGAAAGTATGTTCCTAATTAACAGCTGATCATTGTACTCATCATCCTTCTGTTCTCTTCTTACCATCCTCATATAAACTTATTTATATGCACGCGCGCACCGCTTTCCTATGCATGGAATTCAAGCGCTACGAACTCTTCTGCTTCTTATAAATAGTCGAATGAGTTTCCGAAGATAAGAAATTTGTTTTGCTCACTTCAAAAATGTTGCTTCAAATGTATTATACAAGTATAAATATGAATGTATGCGTGTATGCGTGCTGTATACAATTTCCTGTAATATTTTATTATCTAAATGTATTCAATTGCACTTTTGTATATATGTATGTACCTAGGTATGTTTGTATTTAATAGTTTTGTTTTGCTCCCAAATCACTGCACTTATACCCCGACATACTTAAATAGAAACAGTCGACATTCACTTCGAGCAGGAACAGCTCATGTTCACCTGCTCGCCCGTGTTGTTGCATTGCTTCAACTCTTCCCTCCCTCACCTTTCGCAACACTCAATGTGAAGCTGTAAGAATAAACAATGCTGCTATTCGTTTATCGCTAAAATTGTCATCTTGCAGGCAATGAACGTTGTCATAAGCTGGACAGCTGGCAGAAATTGTATAAATTTCGACTTTCAACCCGTAGCTTTATCTATTAATTTGGCTAATTGTGTTACAATGCTCTCATTTAAGTGTCTGCAAAACGCGAATTTAATTTTATTTATTTGTGTACACAATTCATAGTGTTCATTTGAGGCGGCGGCGAAGGTGTCAAATTAATGTAAACCACAACCGAACTCATTAAGCTGTAGATTTAAAGGCGATGGTGTGTATGTTAAGGCGTTTATCAGAAGCTGCTGTGTAGGACACTTATTTTTAAGCAAACAGAGCTCCCAATTATGTTGAATTAGCTATAATATTATGACATATAAACTCATTAAATTACGAATTTTATGACTTACTCTTTGCTTGGCCTTGTTGTGCCGCCAACACGATCGCACAGATCATCAACAACAGGAAGGATACTGAAGAAGTCATCGCCACTAAAAGAAAAAATTTAAATAAAATTTGTTATAATTTAAAAATGTAATAATGTTTTAAGTATAATTAGACTAATTGCACATTCTAATTCTCACATTTATGCTGTTTACTTTAGTAGCCACATTTGTAAGTAAATGATATCAGGATTCCACCTCAGTTCATGTTTATTTTAATTAAAAATGAAAAATCTAACTAGTGTTCACTTTATAGTTCAACTATTGAGATTATTTATATACGCCTCTATGGGCTCTTGAAAAATTTCAAGAAGATCCGACGTTTTGGAGCCAAATTGTGTTCAGCGATGAGTACCATTTTTAGCTCAATGGGTATGTAAATAAGCAAAATTGCCGAATTAGAGACAAAGGCAACCTGAAGAGATTCAAGAACTGCCATTTATCCAGAAAAAAAAAAAAACAATTCTTCGGTGTGGGTGTGGGCTGGTGAAATCAGCGGTCCATATTGTTTCAAGATTGATTCCGGTGAGAACATAAGCGTTAATGGCGACCGTTATTGCACCTGGAATAGATGCTCGTGATTTCGTTATCATTTGGTTTCAACAAAACAGCACCACTTCCCATACATCGCATAAATGAATGGATTTGTTGAGAAAATGATCGAACTTCATGGATATACCATCTGAGATGTGAGATGAAGGCCAACATGAGATAGAGATAATCTTCAATAAATAAATTTGAAATTTCTGTGTTTTTTTAAAGGCATAACCTCGAGTTTATAAAATATCTTATTAGTTGTGTCCCTCAAAAATTCTTCAATTGTAAAAACGTTAGCTCTCAATCAAATTCTACTTTAGTTCTCTAATGAAATGCAGAAATGCGTCATTAAACATACAAATGCTACAAGCAAAAAATTTCACTTAATACCAATAAGAAATTCCAAAACGGCATAATATATTTAGACCCCATCATTTCTCGCAAGTCATTAAATCGACCAACAATCATGAAAGGAGAAGTTCAGTCAAACAAAAACAAAAACGAAATGAATCACAACAAAATCGGCTTGGCCAAAAATAGTGGCTTCAACCTTTATTTGTGTCTTGAGATTAACGCATTAAATAATAGTACAGTTACATATACCGATGTACGCATCAAAAGGTTAATCGAAGCAATAAAAAATGGCATAGCACAACAAAGTTCGCATAAACTTCTTAAGCTCCAAGACGTGAGTGGAATGATGGCATATTGTCAATATAAACAATTTTTGTATGTTAAATGCTTTTGTTGTCGTCATAGGTACCTTTCTTTAATATTGATTATTATCTAAGGCCACTTTCTCATCAGCCTCAAATAATGGTAATATTGCCTTAATATATTTATGAATCTTTCCGACTTTAGTTTAATTAAAAATCAACGTGTAAAAACGAATGCTTCGGCTGTATTAGTCCAATAACCCATTAAAAAGTTAAAGGTTAAAAGGAGAATAGCAAGGTGGGATGTTCCGGATTGTGATGTGATACTTGTTTGTATGTTTTTCTTCAAAAGCTTTACAAACTTTTAACTTACGTGTAAATATTTTCCTGTAATATAATGTTTTTTTCTATCACAAAGTGAAATGTTTTATCTAATTCCTTGAAATAATAATTTTTTCTTAAATTTTCACAAGTAGTCAATATGAGAAGAGGAAAACGTGATTTTAATATTATGTACATATTTCATTAATAAATTGAGCTGTCTCAATCAAGTTGACGGTAGGTTCATTCCTACGCCTTTGTACTAGTATATATTATACGAAAAGTTCTATGACTTGCTAAACAATAACGTTGGGTCCATAAATTTCGTATTGTTGATGATGTAATAAACATCCATAGGGGTCTGTTCCAGAATTCGAGTACAGGTGTGTTATCGTTTAGTTTAATATACGAGAGATAATTGAAATACTTATGCAAATATAGAAATGTTAGAGAGATGGCAAAAGAGCTCGATATCTCTCGTACATTCGAATGATTTTGGTGAATATTTTGGGTATGAAATGCGTTCTTGCTCTACTTATCCCCATAAAGCTGTTTTTTTTTTCAAAGAAAGTACCATAAACAAGTCGCTTTGGACATTCTTGATAGTGCGAATTCCGATCCCATATTCAAGGAGAGAAATATAACTGCCGATGAGATGGGTTTATGCGTTTGACATGCAAACAAGTCAACAAACGTACCAAAAAAAGAGCTGAAACCAAAAAAAAAAACCACGTCAGAGCCGCTCAAAAATCAAGGTGATGCTCATTGTTTTATTCGAAATTCGTGATTTGGTGCATTTTGGAATTTGTAGATAGGGATAGACGGTTAGAAAACGGCCGGAATTGTGAAAGGACAATTCATGGATTTTACGCGATAACAATGCATCATCTAAACGAGGCACGATTGTGACCGAATTTAAAGCCAAAAAACGCGTGCGATCGTTTGATTTTTTCTTTTTCCCTAAACTGAAATTGCCGCTCCGTGAAACTCGTTGTCAGTCGATCGAAGACATAAAACATAATTCCCTGAAGGAGTAAAAGACCATCTCAAAAGCGTTTATGAAAAGTGTTTTGATCGGAAAACTCGTTGGCATAAGTACAACTTCCAGGTACATTTATGTATGTACCAAGATTGGAAGGTATAAATCGTCTAGGTATGAGCATCCCAGCCAGATGTATAGAGTACCAAATAAAATCTATTTAATCCTTACATATATTTGTCTCATATATCAGTCATTTAATACCAAGTGCGGCTGATGTCAATTCTTCCCTTTACTTTCGTTGACTTTGTATCGAATATGTCAAACAATAAGTGATATAATTTCATTTAACATACATATACGTTTGGTACAAATTAAGAAAATGAACAACATTTCCTTTCACTTATTCCTCTAATTAATAATTTTATTATCTGAAATTTATTTAATTTATATTATAGGGAACATTTAATTGGCTAATAGTTAATTTAACTGCACATAAACAATCTGTAACGGCAAGCGCTATATTTATGTAATCGTGCGAATATATGTACTAAGTGACATATACATATGTACATAAATATAATTTAAATTTATTGTAATTGATATTGTGCATATTGTCAAATCATACCCGAATGCATATACAAATATATGTATATTAAGGTGTCCGTTATTGTTCAAGTTGATTTAATCCAGATTTTACTGAAAAATTGAGATAATTACAATACTTCGTAAATGAAAATATTTTAAAATTTTCTCTTGTGACTTGACTTATGAAACGTATTATAGTAGTCTGCCGTACCGCATACAGAAAATATAACGGTACTATCAGCGTGTAACACATATTAAGGTCTGTGTTTAAAACTACGGTAGCAAGAAGTGGGTTCAACTTATACATCAAATATACTGAGCATTTATGCAACATTCAATGTTGCTCATACGACATGGTGTACAGTATGAATACAGTACAGTTGATACATAAAGTGAAGTAGCTTCAATTTTAAAGGAATTCATGACATTTTTTGTGGCAGGTTGCTAGCAGAAAAAGTCAGCTTGGGAAATAACGGATACCCTAATATATATATGTATATGTACGTACGTTTGCATTTCATGCTTGGGGAGCGTGCGTTTATTTTTGTTTACGAAGCTTATTTATGTTCAAGTCTTCTTATCAGCGCACATATATGGACATATATGTATGTGTGTCAGTGCATGTGTGATATTCCATTTGCACTATATTATAACTGCAAAGTTTATTGGTTAAATAGGCTAAAGTGGCAAAAGTGATTTTAATGTGTCAATCAATGCATTATAATTGGAGTAAAACATTTTATTAACATTACATATGTACATACAAACCAATATACCAATGCTTGCTAGTACACAGCGTAATCACATTAGCATTTTACATTTTATGTGCTGGTAGGCAAAACATCTGGCTTATACAAGAGTTAATAAGCAGAATTATGAAGTATGATGTACGTATGTATGTATAGTACATAGGTATTTGTTTGCCTGGGCGTTAAATTATTTATTAGTATAAAAATATGTACTGTTACATATGACCATGGCATGGTTGTTACTGAATTAGAGTTGGTGGAAGTTAATGCGTGGCATGCAAAGTTTAAAGTACAATCAGAATTTATGAGAGGAAATAGATCAAACATGCGTTTTTTTTTGTGTAAAAAGATTCGGTGGTGCTATAAGCATCTCAACTTGAGAACTTTTAAATCATTTTCACATACTTAGTACATATTAAGGATGTGTACTTTTTTCTTTAAGAGTTTTGGTTGTAGAAATGCCGTAATCGTCTTTGAATATAAATTAATTATTGACAAGACTTTTTAAAACAAGAAAGTTTAAAAGTTTTTACATTAAAAGTTTATAAGCAGATATGGCAGTATTATTTTGTTTTCGTACTCCAAAAAAAATAGATAAAAACAATAAAAAAAAGTAATTATTATATATGACACATTAATTAATTTAAAAAGTAGATAAAAAACAATAAAAAAGTAATTATTAATATTTTTTTCCCTTTATCTATTATTCTTACTATAACAATATCAATATATATTTATACCCTGAACTGGATAGATGACGTATCAAAGTAAACAGGATTTATAAACTTAGCGCCCCCAGGTGGCGCCATCTATATGTCGACTGGTGCGTTAGAATCTGCTACCTTTATCGATTGTTCAATGAGAATTTCATGATATTTCATTGATTGGAAGTGAAGTGAAGTTATTGCGTTTTAAATGTCAGTATGTTTGTGTTATCGGTACGAAAAAGAGCTTCGAACATAGAGCCAACATTAAATATTGTTTTAAAATTGGTAAAACCAAAACGTTTCATTTAATGGAAAAAATTTATGGCGATGATCAAAGTGGTCATGAGGAGTAAATTCATCGAAACTGTGCGTGAATTCATCAAAAAATAGCTGAAATCATCATTGCAATTCATGGAAATGGAATTGAACATCTAAAAAAAAAAAAGATTAAAAAAAAATTGCTCAGAACCCAACATTCGAAGGACCAAATATTTGACCAAAAATCATATTTTAACCATTAAACACTCCCCGTATTCATCTGCTATGGCACCGTCCTTTTCGGAAAAATGCATTTGCTCATTAAAGGAAAGCGTTATGCAAACGTAGAGGCCATTGAAAAGGCTTGCACCGGCTTTGTACCACTCATAGGCACGTGTTTTTGGTAATACTGAGTCACAGTAAGCCTTCCCCTCCATTCGCAATGATTCCACAAACGATATTTGGTTAGAAATATAAAATTTGAGACAAATTCTTTCTTTGATATTTTTGTCCATTTTAAAAATCGCAACGCACTACTGAGGTGTACCGACTTAAACATTAAGGGCAGTCAATGTAATTTAGAGAAATCGTTCTAAAATTGTGTACACCTCATTTCCTATCAAAAATCATATACCTGTTAAACAAACTGCAAAGCCATGTTCATTTTTGCATTTGCCAAGAGATCTTCCCGAAATTTCGCATTATTGTCCAAGGCAACGCTACAAATTGCGAACGTTCAGATCGTATCCCTACAGCTGTTGTATAAACTGTCCCATTCAAATAAAGAAAAATATCTTTTTATACACTATTATATTATGGGAAATGTCCCAGGAAAGGGTATTATAGCTTTGGTGCAGCTGATGTTAACGTGTTTTTCTGCTTTTACTTAAAACACTCACCTCCGAGAATTTTACGATAGATTTAGTACGATTATATAAGCTAATGACCGTCTCGTGTCAAGCGAAGTTCACAATCTGAATATTCCTTAAGCTCTACTAAGTTAATATATATGTTTATACATATAAATTTGTTTATAAAAAATATATATTTTACTTTTACTTTTATTAATTTATTATAAAATGTGTTATAATTTTTCGTTTGAAAATAAGTCGTAGTTTTGTAAAGTAGGTACACAGTAATCACAGTTAGGCTTTTACTAATAAAATTGTACGCTTATTTTTTTAAACTAAATGATTTTTATATTTTCGGTATAGCAGTTTGTTTATTTATTATTATCGTTATTATTATAATTATTTTATTGATTATTCATTTTTATTTCGTGTTCTATTTGGTCAGAAGTTAGCACTAGTTTAGTATTGTTATCATCATTACCGCTGTATAAAATTGAAAACTTTCACACCAGTCGCGTTAATTTATGATCGAGCGCTTTGACTGTTCAACTGTGTGACTTACATCTTCAAAAACTCCCGACGAAGTGTCAGCTTATTTATTGCTGAGCATGGATGGAAGTGAAGGCGCTTAACCTGAATAATCTACAAATTTTTTAATGGCTTATTTATATGTATGTATGTATGTGTATATATGACACAGCGTAATGAGAAGAATATAGATGTGGTGCTTTATGTATGTATGTTTTATTTGTGGCGTCGACATGAGGGAAACTGTATGAACACTACCATGGTTATACTTACTTAGTGAGTCGGAACACAGTTGATGTAATAAAACTAATATTTCTTAAAAAAAAACTAAAATAAAAAAAAAAAAATCTTTGTTTCTAATAGAGTGTTATTTTCAAATTTATTTGCCAATGAGAGGCGACTTAGGGTGTTAGACCAATCCGGGATTTCATAACAATTCTGAATTTTTTTATAGAACCTTTGTGATCTCAAAGGTAGTATTTAAATTATAGTATAGTGAAAACATTGTCCTTGTCCAATTCTCTATAGAGTTGCTACGTCTGCAGCAAACTTTAAATGCGTCTACCTCGAGACTACTCCGGTAAATTAACTTTGCCAAGAAATTTTTAACACCCGAATTTACTAGTATTAGCACAAAACACTGATTTAGGTGCCGAGAAAACGTCTTTCTTTCAAGGTACAATTGAAATTATCAATGATTTTGAAATCAGAAGATAAAGTTGCTGCTTAATATACTGAACATTTCACCCTTCTCGTACAGTTTGGCCAAAACTCAAGTGTACGAGTCTGGTTCCATTTTCTCACCTGAGATCTTGGAGATCAAGCCCGAAAACCTGCATGCGAATTTCCAAGCTGATGTTGCCAATTTGGCCGCCGTATCGGTACAGATTGGGTACCCAACTATTGCTTCGGCACCACATATTGTTGCCAATGGTTTCAAGAATCTATTGGCTATAACTGCTGCCCACGAAGTTGACTTCACTGAAGCTGCTAACATCAAGAAGTTCATCAAGGACTGTGGTAAATGCTGCTGCTGATACCTCTATTCTAGTTGCTGTTGCTGGTGTCTCAAAAAGGTAGTCGGAGTCGGAGTCAGAGAAAGACGACGATATGGATTTCAGTCTCTTTGATTAAACAGCTCAACTCTAAAGTAAATAATCAGCGTGACGAGCTGAGTCGATTTAGTACTACTCTCTGTATATAGGTATAAATTACGTTCTTGTTTCGAAAAATTTTATTATTGAAGGGTATTATAGCTTCGTTGTAACCGCAGGTAACATTTTTCTTTATTTATAAAAAAAACACTATTTTTGGTCGGTCAAAGTTTGAATCCTTTTTCAGGCTTCTATTTTTTAAAAGCTTATACAAAACTATTACCAAGTCTCATTTATGTTAAGATCCGCTTTATATTGGTTCATATAGCAAGACTTCTTAGAATTACCGTTGCCTGTCGAACACTTCTTATAAAAGTTGATTTCGAATAGCGGTCAATACATAATTTGTATCGAAAGCGAGAAATTCGGTTGCCTTTCCCTACTTATGGGAAAAATTTCCACTATTTGACCCTTCTATTATTTACTATATATAAATAATTGATCCGTTTTAAATTAAAGTTTTTCATAAATGAATGCCCAACATTTAATGGTGTAGCGTGCATAATTGAATTGAGCGCAATTACAATGAAAAAAGTGGCAAGTGTAGCGAGAATTCCCTCCAATGGGCTAGCATTTACTACTCTAACTGGCTTCCTATTGGCTGCTTAAATTAATTTACTACATAACCGACACTTACATACACTTATACATACATATACGTATTCGTGAACACTTTAATTGGTACATAACTCATTTAAAAAAACATTAATAAAATATTTTTTATATAAAAATATTCATACATACAAACACACATATGTATATGTATATAAAAATTCATATTAGCTCGCTCGAGTGCTTGTGAACCATAATATTATTGATTGTTAAATAATAATAACAAAGTATGACATTTTAAACTCAGAGATTTGCACTCCTTGCTGCGAATTGTCACACGCCGCGTTTGTTTGTGCTTCCGTCTGTATGGTTCTTGGATGGATTAAGGTGTATTATATATATCTACAAGATAATACATAGTATTTATATATGCGTTGGCAACGCTAATTGTGATGATTCTTTAAAAATACATTGATCTCAACGCCATGATCGACAACAACAAAAACAAAAACATTTCTATCCACGGTAATGTCCAGGCCCTTTCTTGTCTTGTTTACTGTCTACAATCTTGTCACAACAAAAAAAAATTGTTTCATACTAACTACTAACCATTCTCAAGTCAGACATATTAAATAGTCATAAAAACACTTAATCGCTGCAAATAACTTTATAAGAATAAAAATAAGCATATATAAATATGGAATAATCCATAAATAACCACTTGACATGCTATTTTAAGCACTGCAGACTTGTTATTAAATTTTTGCGCCACTGATAAACCAACTGTTCTACAGCTTGTCGACTAGGTGAACCATATATATATTGACAGAAATACACATGTATGTACATAAGCAAATGTAAGTAAGTGTGGTTGAAGCCATAGACTTTGTGGTATGCAAAGTCTGCATCTGTTTATATACCTCTTCATACTAGTTTTGGGTAGATTTTTCGAATACCATATGCGAAAATTACTTACTCACTTTATTATGTATAATCGCATATACATAAATACGTACTTATATATTATATATGTATGATAATGACTTGCGGTAAAATATCACTTACGCTACTGCAGTGGCACAATCAAGGCAATATAATTGTTTATGCTGTCAAATCAGGTTGTTAATATGACGTTTCGGGATTAGCTAAAGTGGCCCCTGATATTAAATGGAAATATTTATGAGCTATCAAAGCTATCAAAAATCGATTGTGAGCGAAAAGTATATATTCCTGTCCATATACATATATGTACATATGCACATTCATATACTATATCCACTACTGCGGGAAGTACTTCTCTAGTAGATAATATTATATAGACGCTTATCTTCTTGTTGAACATTGTTTTGTGTTGCAATGTGTGAAGTGTTTTTCAGATTGATTTATCTTATGATTTATATACTGTTATCAATGGAAAACGAACATTTTTAGAAATATGTATACAAAACAAAAAATTACTCATACGACACGTATACCGAACTTTTTTTGTTCTCATCTAAGAGGTATTTTGTTTTTTAGTTTCTATGTTGGTATTCTAGTAATTAATTTTCATAATTTTTGCTTATTTGCGGTTGCGGTGCAAACTGAACGGCGGAGATCAAGTACATGTGAAGAAACCTTTTCCATTTGACGAAAAATCTTTCTGAATTTCGGCAAGTATTATTATTCAAGACAATGGGTATAATCTGAAGAAATTTTTCAAATAAAATCACTAAAGGATATAGTTGCCACCTAAACTGACCGATCAAAATAAAGTTTTTGAAACGGATTTTTTTTATATGTGAAAATTATTATAGTTTGGATGCAACCGGCATAACGAAACAATGACTTGTTGCTATTTTGGAGTTAATTTCATAATATCACGCCTGTAGAGATTCTCGTGCTAATGACAAAAGCTAGGGCAACAGTCGTAGTTATTTATGGAGTACCTGCCGTCGACGGCCTAACCTCCCGGTGCTTTGTTAAAGCACATAGATCAAAACAATGCGTTGATGATAACACATGCTTTTCGAAAGTATTTTTTGGTTCACCTTTTCCACCTTGGTCGGGTACGAGGCCGATCTAAAACCTCTGCAGTGCTGTGGATTCGCTACCCGGCCGCAGTGCGACTTCACATTTAATTGAGTTTTTCAATTCTATCTGCCTTTAGGTTTAAACCACACCCACCACGAATCTTACCAAAGGGACAATCCCAATGAGCAAATTGTAACGAACTCTTCCTTAGAGCTGCTCCCCGCGGTACCAGATTTAAGTCTTCGGTCGGACCTTGTAGATTTTACTACTACCAGTTGAGCACCTATCAAACTCAAAAGTCCTTTCAAGGAGGAATCTCATTCAAAATCTATAATATCAGCTCAAGCTGAGAAACATAGCATTATTATGGATTTTAGTCGCCACTTAGGAGAGGCATAACTTATGCGGAAAAATTTTATTCCCTGCCCGCTGAGTCCGACAATCGATTTGCATAGACCTCTCTCTCTTCAGACAAATTTGCAGCAGCAAAACCAATCGCTGTAGACAGTAACAGGTAATAATTATTTACTACCAGGTCCAGGGTATTACATTAAAATAACACATTTTCATCCGCTTGGCTTTGCTAGTGTTCAGCTTTCGCGCTTGCTACTAAGTGAAGCAATCACAAACTGTCTGAGAAGTTCTTTTTATAGAAACTTGTGGTTTTAATGTGATCCTTAGGGACACAGTTCGACTAAGATACAACATTGATAGTTGATGAATTAAAAAAATGTTTAGTCAAATTACGCTACTCTAATTTTCTAATAAAGTTTTAGAAGCAATTAATAAGAGGCTGAATAAAAGTGCTGAATAGTGTTGGGAATTTTTTCGTACAACAAGAAGTAATCAAAGTTCTTGAAATAACATTTTTCCTAAGTACTAAATTCTGAATTTCAGAATTTTAACTATATTTTTTTAAACCAATTTTTTAATTAGTTGATATTTTTCAGCTTTCAGCGTATTATTAGTCCTCTTAGATGTTGAGCTCTACTCTCTTGTCGAAAAATTTACAAGTGAAAGCAACTAAAACCTACTTCATTGATTCCTATGTAAGGTAATTTAGTTATACCTTGTATATCGTCACCTAAAATGCAAAATAACGTATCATCGAAAAGAACTTAATTGAGTTTAATATTACTTACGATCCACTACATCAGATTATATATACAATTTACAGCTTTCGTTGTTAGATCTAACCACAATATAACCATTTTACAACCAAAACTCACTTTTTTTTCGATATGATTGGTTTCTGTTATAACGTTTTTCCTTTGATTGCAAACTTAGTGATGTTACGCTATTCTGTGTT